CAGTAAATGGTTCTGCTTGGTGCTGTAATAACTCATCTGCTAACACTCTTGGAGCTCCCTGGTCTGGCTCAGCACCTTGCACACGTGTTTTTGTGCCTTGGCTTTGGCACACACGCACAGACCTCCATTTCAACCACCAGCACACACTGTCCCCTCCCTGGGTCACACTGTGTCCAAACAGGGCCAGACTCTAACAGCAGCTTGGCCTGAGTGAGGGTCGTAGGCTCTAGCCCAGAATTAGTGTCCAGGGCCTGTTGTGTGGAACACCCACAAGCAGAGACGTGGCCAAAGTGTGGAGCTGCTGGGACTGAGGGCAGATCCTCCTCTGCCCCCCTTGTTTTGTTAGCCCTCCTGTCTGATGTCTGGGCAGTTCAGTGATTATGTGCTTAGGATTATTCTTCTTCCAAAAGCTTTCTGAATTCTGTCAAGTTTCCTTTTATCCTATTATTATCCCCCTGGTGAGGAGGAACAATATTTTCTGTCACTAACATTAAACCTTCCTGGCTGAGCACTGCTGCCTCGAAGGAGACATTGATGCTGCACTAACCCTCAGGTGAAGGGAAAGACCACACCACTGCTCACACCCAACCAGGCAAGGTATGGGACATCTCCCCATGGGTGAGGCTTTGTGATGGAACTGTACAGCCAGAAATGGGAGTATGGGGAGGAAAAGCAGGGTGTGAGTTGTTTTTAGGAGACATTTACATCCCTTTGCTGAGGCTCAGTTGAGCCACTGCAGGCTGCAGAGGACAAGTCAGGCTGTTTGGTGGACTGGGAGCAGGATGAGTGCTCCCAGCATCCTGCACCATCTCTACTCTTCCCAGCTTTCTTGTGCCCTCTCCCAGGGTAGTTTGCAAGCACTGCTGTCCTCACAGCTCCTACACTCCATCATATCTCCCAAACCTTTCAGGGCCTGGAGGCCACAAGATTCCACCTGCATCTTACTTCAGCTCTGAGTTTGGGTTTGATTTCTGCTATTGCTGTGCAAAGCACCCAGCAAGATTTGGTTTTGTTGTGCTGTTTGTCAATAAAAGATTTTGATGGAGCCATATCAAAATTATTTATTGAGTGAGCAAAAAGCGTAAGTTACATGTGACTTCTGGAGCAGAAACACTTAAGGAGAGGTGCAGAAACACCCAGCAGAAATGAGGCAGGAGCACACTTGTGTCTGTGGGGGCTGCTGGCCCCTCAGGTCTCTGCAGTGAGGCGCTGGTGGGGTGGTGAGTGGTGCCCTCAGAATGGTCCTGATCTTTTTTGCAGGTTACTGAAAAGTTGGAGTTAGGTGATTAAATATCTTGTCACAAAAAATGCCCCAGGTAACTCTGCTTGTCTCCACACAGGTTAGAGCATGGCCCTTTCCATTAGTACTGCTTGGACCTCCAGGTGTTGGAAACACCCCATGGGTCTCTCCAGTGATTGTGCTGTGCCTGACTCTCTGAAATGTGCCACTCTTCCCTCAGGCTGTGGCATGAAATGGCCAAAGATAAATAAAGTTCTTTTTTTTCCCCTCTTACAGCTGCTAGGATGCTATTTGTTTCCACAGCATGTCAGTGTGCCTGTCCTAGTGTCCTGCCTCCCCTGAGACTCCCCACAGAGGTTTTTCCAAGGGTATGTGGTGCAGCAAAGGGAGTTTGGGATGACCACACTGGTTTGGGGGCATGGAAGGCTAATAACTCTCCTTGTGCCAACTCTGTGGAGAGCAGCTGAGAACCAGTTAGTACCTACATCCTCCTGTGGGCTCACCTCCAGGAGAAAATGTTATCCCAAGGCACAGCCTAGGGAAGCACAGAAGATGCTCACTCATGAAGACAGAGGGGGAAATAGGAAAACATTAAATTGTGTTTTTCAAGACAGCAGTAACCCCATCAAGTGCATGCAGGGAAAAGCCTATCCGAGCAGTCCCAGGGGCTGCTTTGCCTTGTAGCACTTCTGCCAAATGGTGGTCTTTATCTCTGGTGCCTGAAAGTACACAGAAAAATTTACAGAACCCATTGCCATAACGAAATTCCTTAGAATGGCTTCAAATCACATGAAACCTGCAATGATTCCGTGGCTGGAATTGCATGGGACACTGCATGAAGCTAAACAGTTCAGATTCCCAGAGCAAACCACTGTGGCCTGTGAGTTTCTGGCCATGAAATATGCTCTCAGCAGGGCTAAACACAGAGTCCTCCTGAGGAAATCCCTGGCCCAGCCAAATCCACTTAAGGGAACAACTGAGCAGATTTTTAACAAATTCACCTCACTAAGCACATGGGTTTGTTGTTGAAGACTAGACTGAATAACCCTCTTACCCCACCAATTATGTTATTATTGATAATTAATGAGGCTGATTATGAATTATTCAGCATTTTTGTTTTGTATAATTACGCTTGAATACCAAACTCAGTGCCCTTCCTTAAAATTAAGCACAGCTTGTAGCATCCCACACACTCGGTGAGCACCTCGTCCTCAGCTGTAATTACACAGAAAATGATGATACTTACATTTTACATATCAGAGTGGTAAGTAGGAATGTGCAGGACATGGACACACAGAGCACAGTGAGAATCCAAGAGATGGAACTCTCCAGTTTGTTTTGGCCTGAATTTCAAGGGAAAAAAAGAAATTGTCATTTTTGTGAGAAACACACTCCTAAAATATTCCATCAGCTGTTTCATGTGGTTATATTCAGCTCCCAAATCAACATACAGGTGATGGAGACATGGAAGGCAAAGCTTCCAGAAGAGTTTCCCTGCACTGACCCTAGTTTTGACCCCAAATCCCCCGTGTTTGGCTGTGAAGCAGAGCAGAACCTGAGCAGCACGAGGGGCCGGGTGGGTGGTTTGCTGCCCTGAGGTGACACCACACAGTGAGGCACAGTCAGCCGATAAACTCGGGCACCAACTCTGTGAATCCCTTCAGGCACTCTGGGCTCCTCCGCCCTCCTGCACTGGAGGAGGAGCCACCGGAGCCCATTCCCCAGCTGGTTGCTGAGGGTTTCTCTGCCCCTGAGCAGTTTGTGTGTCTGTGAGACCCTGCTCAGTGAGCACACCGTGGGTTTGTGCCACACGGTGCCACCCGCAGAACACTTGGAGTGAACTGTGTTTTCCGAGGGCTGCCCAGTGTGTGTGTGTGTGTGGCACCATCACCACCTGCCCACGGTGCCAGCACTGCCATTCCTGGGAAATGGCAAGGACACAGACCAGGAGCAGCTGTGGGCTCTGCTGCTGCTGTGGCCAAAGCACCCAGCGTGGGCAGCCGTGTCCTGGGCACCAGGAGCTGACCCTGCAGGTCCCTGAGGGCTGTGGCGCCTCAGGAGACACATCCTGAGGGCAAAGTGACCATCCTGTGCCTCCACACACAGCCAGACTGCACACACAGGGCCTGGGGTGCTTTATTTCCTTCAGGGTTCACCACTTTTCTTTCACACAAATAAGACTCAGGATGTGTCAGTGGGTTATGTTTTGGGCAAGTCCTGAGGGTTAGAAGGGCAGCAAACTGCAAAATGGTTCAGTCCCATAAACCAGTTTTGAGAGGTGTTCACATGACATGGTGGGAACAGATGAAACTCCCTCTGAGCCACAGAGCAAATTAACACTAAAATTGCTAATGAGACTGGCTGAAGTGTGTCCTGAACCCCAGAGATTTGTGCAGGAGCCTGTCGTGTGTAAGTGAACTGCAACAGGCCTCAAAAAACCCATTTTCATACAAAAAACTGACATAAGTGGACATGTCCTTGGATATTGATGAGATTTAAGTACATTTGTATGGAAGACTAACTTTTTTTGACCATCAGAATGAATTTTCCCTGTGAGGCAGTTCGGAAGGTCAGGGGGATGTGTTAGAGTGAGGAGGCAAAACACCTGCAGGTTTGCACTCCCTAGAAAACAGATATGAGGGGAAAGTGCAGCAAACAGGAGAGTGTAAGAGACTTTAAGTGAAATCAAGGAAGTTAAGAAACTCCAAAGATAAGAGCAAAGGAGGATGTCTAAGAGCAAACAGTTGATAACGTGCTGTGATAAAGAAACTGTTAGTGCCAGAACAAGTTCTCATCAAGCAGGAAACACAGAGCAAAGTGAGGCAAATGGTCACGTCCCTGAGATGCTCCTTCCATCCCAGCACTTCAGAATTCACACAGCTCCACAGAGTGCAGCTGGCATGGCCCCTCACGTGAACTGCCAGCACGAACACCAGGCAGGGAAACGGGAAAACTGAGGTCGTTCAGTTAAAAGGTAAATGCAGGTGAAAACAAATCACTGTCAAAAAATCTACACATATCCAAAAGTTTGTGTGGGAGCTGTTTTTCATTTGTAATGGAATTTAAATCCCCTTGGCACGAACAAGTCAGTCCTTTCCCTCACAGCCCTGTTTGCCTGGGTTCCACTGAAAGCAGGGGCTGTGCACACTCAGGACCAGGCAGCATCTGCTGCCCAGCAGTGTCCACTTGTCATCCTTACCCACGCAGACACTTTCACTCCAGTTGCTCCAGAATCCTCTCCCGCAGTGCACGTGGTGATTGGCTCTGATCTGGATGGAATATCTGCTGGTGCCATCGATCCGCAGGCGGAAACTGTTCGAGGACATTCGCAGTGTCTGTTAGGAAAACAACACTGTGCTCTCATGGATTGTTCAATGCTAAACAGTTCAGAAAACAAACTTTAATCGTGTTTATCTTTTTATGGCTTTAAAACTGCTTTGCTGGATGAGCTGGGAACGTTTGGCTTTGCTGTTGAGGTTTGTAGAGGTTCATTTCTCCCATGACACACCAACATTTCAGGGCAAGCTCTTGCTAGATTTTACACTCTTAAGGCAGGATTTTCAGGATTCCCCAAAGATTTTACACTCTTCCTTAGACACTTAAGGCAGGATTTTCAGGATTCCCCATCCTCCCACTGTTCTCAACCCAGTGCATAAAACTGAGTAACTCCAGTTTTATCCTTCTGCTTTCCTAGGTTTCTTGGGGATAGCTTGTTGCAGACATGAGAGACATCCAGGAAAAGAGGAAAGATGTGAAAAGTGGTGAGAGTTTTTGCTGAAGCCTAGTCACAAATGGGACATGAGCTCAGAGGTTCAGGAATGTACTAATACTAGTTTGTATTTTAAATGTTTTAAGTGTATAACTTATCCCTGAATTTGAAGACTTTTGCACCAGGCTGCATGGAGGCAAATTGCAGCTGCACAGGACAGGCAGCTCAGGGACAGGAAGGATGAGGAGCAATTACCTGTTTGTTACCTGACTTCAAGTTGATGAAGTAAAACTCATACTCAAAACATTCCGCAGGGAAAGGAGAAATTGGCTTCTCCCACGTGGCCAGGAGATTGTTTTGCTCTAAGGATACAGAGATGTTTCTGGGAACATTCACTTTCTCTGCAAGAAGAAAACTGTGCTGGTAAGTTATTTATAGAGCAAAGTTTAAATACTAAGAACTGGAGAATTTTATAAGCTGAGTTATTAAAAAGTGGAACACATTCAGCTATTATGGGGGTGATTTCTAGGAAGAAAATAGGTGACTTTTTCTCTTAGTGGAGCCATGAAAAAGGGAACTGTTACCTGTTCACAAAAAAAAAAGAAAGGTGTGGAATTAATGAAGGAAAATAAATGATTTGGGTGGATGAAAGATGATAGATTTTCCTGATGTTACCTTTTATTTGACAGCCTTTCTGCCAAAGGACATGGTCGGCTTGAGCACCATGTGCTCTTGCCTTCAAAGAAAGGCTGTAAAATAAATGCCAATAAAACTGTACATTGAGGTATGTAAGGTATAAAAGGGACCTATAAATCAGCTGAAAATTAATACTGAAGTACTGTGATACAGATATAGATATAGATAATATATAATAAAATGCAGGCAGAATAGCCTTTTCTAGCTCTTATTTTTGGTAATCTTAAGTAACAATAAATTTAACACTAAATTATTAAAATCAAATTTAGTTCAAACAATCCAGTTCTGTCTCCTAATCACTTGTAGCATCACTAAGATATCTCTACAGAACCAGCACATCCTTTCACCCATTCCATCCTGCAGTGTTCTCTGATCTGACAATCCCACTGGGCATTTTTCACACTTTTTAAATTTCTCCTACTCACCAATGGCATTTTGCTGAAAGAGCTGCTGGAAAGGTTTGATCGCAGCGTGTTTGCTGGAACCATTAATGTGCACTGCAACGAGACTGTCAACCTGCTCAGGATCAATGTGGGTCCCTGCAAAGCTGCACTTGGTGTTCCTGTTCCACTTGTCTTTGACATAACTGTGACATTCTTCGGTGTACGTCCCATACCTGAATTGAAATGCTTGTGAGATATGATGCTCTCAAAGAAATTCACTGCTGACTAAAGCAGGAGAAAGCACCAACCTGTAAAACAGAAAGTACTTGGTATCTTCTGGTGCCCCTTGGCCAGGGAGCCAAGAGCAGTGGAGAGAGACAGTCCCAGCAATGGTGATTTGGGTGACACAGGACAAATTAGTGACGGATGTCTCTGGAGCACCTGGAGACTCAAGGGATTACAGAGAGAAGGAAAATCTGATTGCAGAGATTGTAACAAATTCATGTTGCTAAAACACTTTGATTCCAATCTTTGGTCCATTATATCTACATCTACTGTACCAATTCTCTTCCTTATCACACAGGGGAGCTGGTCATGGATGGATGAAATTCCCAAACAGTATGTGTAAATACAGTGTGTAATACATGTAAAGCACCATACATGTATTTCATGTATAACAAGGCAACAACATCCTAGAGTGTATCACAGTAGGTGACCTCAGCCTTGGCATGGAATTGTAAGAGTATTTCATATGAGTTATCCACATTTTGCACCTCCACAGCAGTAGAGAAAGGCCTGGACTAAATCCTTTTGAAAGAGCAGCTAGAGGGGAAAATGGATTTTTAAACCTGTCACCTTTTGAACACCAAATTCAGACCTGCCCTGTGTTTCTCCTCACCTGGCAGGGGTGGGAGCTCTCCCTTCACCCACTCACTCCCCAGCTGCAGGTCACTGTGGAGCAGCAGGGTCCGGACGCGTGCGGAGAAGCCGTTGTGAAGTGCCACTGATCGGACACTGTGAGTCTTCCCAGTGTCATACTGCAGGTAAAAAGGATGTCAAACAAGCACCACACGTGAGGGAAGCCAAAATGAGCCACTGATGTGAGCTGAGTTGAACGTGGAGGGGAAGGCAGAACTTAAACCCAGATCCATCATCCCCCCAAGGGGAACACGGCAGAGCTGGAAGGGAATCTCCAGTCCCCAAAGCACATGGTTAGATAGAAGGGAATGACAGGAATTTAGCCTTCTTAGGATGATTTAGGTTTTATCTTACCTCTTCAGGCTCAGGGCTGAGGATTTTCACATCATATCTGATGGTGCAGTTTCTGTGCTCTTGCTCAGGGTTTGGTTTCCAGTGTAACAGAACTTGTGCTAACGCAGAGACTGTGAGAGTGAAGTTAACAGGAGGCAAAACCTGGACTGGGAGGGAGAAAATAGGAATAGTCATGGCATAGTAACCATGTTTAGAGCAACAGCTGTTTGCAGGCAGTGAGAAATACAAGCAAATAATTTCATTCCAATATGATATTCTCTCAACAGCTCCTTAGAAAACGGTTCTAATATTTGAAAAAAATACCTTTAAATACCCAAACTTTCATTTCAAGGTCCTTCCAACCCAAACCACTCCATAATTCCCCAATCAGTCCCCACTTCTCTTCTCCCATTATTTCAACCTTTGATGCCCAGGAGTTCAGTTTTTAAGCACACACCTTGCACTAGGAAAACAGCCTCATAAAGGCTCAGAAAACCCCAACACAAACAACAAGGGGCATGGCAGAAGTGTCTCCATGCCTCAAGGTTCTCCCCTCTCTAAGCAAAACTGTACTCACGCAGGGAGCGATGTTTTTGGGAAGGTACAGCCCATTATTTCAACCTTTGATGCCCAGGAGTTCAGTTTTTAAGCACACACCTTGCACTAGGAAAACAGCCTCATAAAGGCTCAGAAAACCCCAACACAAACAACAAGGGGCATGGCAGAAGTGTCTCCATGCCTCAAGGTTCTCCCCTCTCTAAGCAAAACTGTACTCACGCAGGGAGCGATGTTTTTGGGAAGGTACAGCTGTCCCAGGCCTCATGCGGGGAGCGATGTTTTTGGGAAGGTACAGCTGTCCCAGGAAGGATGGTAACATCATGGTCATCCTGCTCCTGAGCTCGTGGCATGTCATGGACTGTTTATCCATGTGTAGAACAGTGACCAACACACAGAGAGCCCTTGGTCACCCTCTGGTGCTAAAGGTACAGAAGGAAAACTTACCTCCTGCAGCTTGAGGGATGTTCCTCATGCAGAGGAGGATCAGAAGCGCTCGCACCACGCTGGCCATCATCTTTAGATGACAAATGAGCACAGCCAGACATCAGCACATGTCCTCGTCACCATTTCACAGAGCTGGGAGCTAAAACTGAGCACAACCCCAAGGGTTAGGCACACAAACCTTAGGCACAGTGTATCACCTGGCCAAAGGGATCAAACTGCCCTGCAAGGCAGAGACTCTTCTCTCCTTGCAGGAAATGCTTCTTGGCAGGGCTACATTTAATAGAAGCACCACCCAGCACATTTCACCCTGTTCCCTGAGCAAAAGCTGCTGGTCCCAAGCCCTGCTGGGTGTGGAATGAGAGCATCTCTCCACGGAGAGGAGCCAGGTTCAGGTTAGGGAGATTGGCTTTCAGCACAGTCCCATTTCCTCCAAGAGCAGAAATAACCATATTTTTAGCTGCCACTTTGTATAAAATAGCTACTTATTGGAATTTACTTTCCAGCTCCTATTTCAGTAGAGCTCTCTAAAGACACAATCAGTGCTCACCTCAAGGCTAATTCTCCACCGTTAATTACTGGGTGTACAGAAAAACTGCTTTATTTGGTTCTAATTTAAATGAACAACTATTTTTAATGCTCAAACCCAGCGTGTTCTTGTGCTTCCTATGGATTGTTTCTTGAATTACTGGGAGGAAAAAGCTCTGTGTGTAATCATTCGTGTGTAGCCTAATATAAATATGGGCATAGAGAACAGAGCTTTGCAAAATGCTCTCACTGAGGAGAAATAGACCCTCCTGGCCCAATCTCGCTCCTCCCCTGGGGCACTACAGCAATTGCTGCATGGAAAACATAATATTTTCCAATGGTAATGAGCAGAGAAACATCTTTAACCCATCAGCTCTCCCCGAACCTCCAATGCATAACCCAGGGCCTGAGTTATGATCTGACTGATCACAGTCAGAGCAATTCTGCTGTGCAGTAACTATTCCTCAACGTGGGCTGTGAGTGCTGAGTTTCTTCAAGTGACACATCATCCACAACACACAGAGTTTCTTCGTGCCCAAGTCCCCTCATTATTCCTAGTTTGTAGCCACTCTGCTAGCCAAAATGTGCACGAGGCCAACTGAGCCTCTGGAGTTTGCTAGTGGATTGTCCCTGGGCATCCAGTGGTGGGTTTATGTACATTGGGGTTGTGGAGGGACATTTGGCCACACATTTCTGGCCATTTTACTACCACTAGTCCTTCCAAAGGGTAGTGAATCACAACCAATCATGCAATTACTCTTCCCAACACATATTTATACCTGTTTATGTAAATATATATATACATCTAAAATAGAT